GACAGAATAACAAGAGTTGGAAGGGACCTTGGAGATCATCTAGTCCAGCCCTCGACTCAAGCAGGAGACCCTTACAGAATGACAGAATAACAAGAGTTGGAAGGGACCTTGGAGATCATCTAGTCCAGCCCTCGACTCAAGCAGGAGACCCTTACAGAATGACAGAATAACAAGAGTTGGAAGGGACCTTGGAGATCATCTAGTCCAGCCCCCTGCTCAAGCAGGAGACCCTTACAGAATGACAGAATAACAAGAGTTGGAAGGGACCTTGGAGATCATCTAGTCCAGCCCCCTGCTCAAGCAGGAGACCCTTACAGAATGACAGAATAACAAGAGTTGGAAGGGACCTTGGAGATCATCTAGTCCAGCCCCCTGCTCAAGCAGGAGAACTTGCTGGAACCCAGGAAACCAAGATGAGGACTGGCGTATCCATCCTCCTGTGCCGCATTCGGTGGCTCCCTTGACACAACAAGCCCAAGTAGATGAAGCCAAGATGAGATGCTGGCTTGTCATCGTTCCCGTGCCGCAGTTTTTTCCCCCCGGGGTGGGGGTGGGGAGGGCGTTGAAGGAACCCCCAGGAAAATGGTGGGCGGAGCAAAGAAAACCCCCATCTAGGTGGTCATTCCTCAACCTAGCGCCCTCCTGATGCCTCGTGACGCAGCTCCAGTTCATCCTCCTCCTGGCAGCCGGCGGAGTGGAAGGCATGGGTTTTGTAGTCTACTATCCCCCTCTCACACACAGACACACACCCCAAGCAAAATTCCTCCGGAGCATCGCATGGCTGAATTCTTCGAGGTTCAATGCGACCCCCCCCCTCCCCAATAAATTTGCGGGCGGGGGGGCGAAGGGGAAAGCCTCGAGGTGCGGAAGAGGAGGCGAGAAAAGGAATGTTCAGACACGCGTTTGTTTCCGTCTCTGCGGGTCCCGGCGACGGGGAAGCGGAGGGAGAAGTGTCAAAGCTGCCCATCAACTCCTTTCAACCTCCCCCCCACCCCGACTACATGTCCCGGGGCGCCCTCCACTTGCACCTGGCCCCCATCCCCTCCCCCGCCCCCTTCCCCACGACCAGCAGAGGGGGCAAAACCCGCGTCGCCGGAGGACACGCGAGTCCCATCAATGAAAGCGGGAAACCGCGCCCCTCTCCTGTCATTGGCTCCCTGCGGCCCCGCCCCGCCGTTCCGAATGGTATAAAAGCCGCCTCTCCGCCTCCAGAGCGCCATTCGCGACTGCGTTGGGCGGGCGGCTGGTTGCGTGCTGGTGTTTTTGTCCTCGCAGTTGCGTCCGTTCGCGTCTCCCGGCCATGAAGGTGGTGCCAGCAGCCCCCGCCGCGTCGCCCGGCCCCAGCTGCGCTCTCAAGGGCGCGGGGGGCGAGCCTTTGCCGCGGTGCCTCTCGGAGCAGAGCGTGTCGCTGTCCCGCGTGGGCAGCGCCCCTTCCCGGGGATTGCCCCTCGGCCCCGATCAAGCCGCCGCTGCCGCCGCCGCCTCGCTCCTCCTGGACATGAAGGGCTGCTACTCGCGCCTGGCCGCGCTGGTGCCCACCTTGCCCCGCCATCGCCGCGTCTCCAAGGTGGAGATCCTCCAGCACGTCATCGATTACATTTGGGATCTCCAGCTGGAGTTGCAGGACCCGCTGGGCACCGGGGCGCCCTCTCCGCGGGGCGTGGACGAGCCGGCTGGAGGAGCCGAGGTGAGCCTCTCCCCACCAGGGAAGATTCCTCCCCCCCCCCAAGGAGAGAGGAGATAGGGGCGCGTAACGGGGGCTCCGTGGGTTCCTGCCCATCTGCCCCTCCAAATCGCGCCGCAATGGCTCCGTGGGTTCGTGCCACCCGTGTTCAGATCACGGGTGGCACGATCATTGTGTCCATCTGCCCCACACACCCAGGACACGCGCAGCAAGAGTGCAAGGGGGGGGTTGTGTCCCGTCTGCCCCACCGCAGCGCCCAAGTTTCTCCCCGGGGCACTGCCAGGCTCCTGAGCAATCTGTTGTAGGCTTTGTGCCAATTCCATGTTCCTGTTGCTGGCCTGGGGATGTGTGTGTATATGTGTCTGTGTGTGTGTCTTGTGCCCGTCTCTAAATAAATTCGCGACCCACAGAACAGGAATTCTGTTTGGGAAGGGTGAATTATGCCAGGGGCATTTCTCCCCTACCAGTGCCATCCCTTGCCAGCCCTTCTGGTGGGCATTGACTAGCCAGGGCCAAGGTTTTTGGAGAATGTAGAAAGGAAATTTTTGCTCAATTTTTGATAGTTGCAAATCCAGGGGGAATCTGGTGCCCCCTTTTGAGGTGACAAGACTTCTCTAGCAAGACAAAAAACTTTTAAGAAAGTTTTTGCCTTTCGGTAGAATTGGGGAGCCACAGGCAGAAGAATTCTCTCTCTGGATTCTTAAGTGGGGGGGCAAAAAACCCCACTTTTAGGATCTTGAGATTAATAACAATTTCTCCGTAATTCACCAGGCACCTTCAGAATTGTTATCACCCTCGATGGAGAAAGGTTTTTTATTTTTAAAAGTTCCTAATATTTTTATGCTTTTATAAAAAATAAATTCTTTCTCTAGAACTCCCTTCTTACAGCTGTTCATCTCCCCCCCCAATTATACACCCCCAGTTTTGTTTACAGGTAGTCACGTTCAAAGTTACAACGGCACTGAAAAATGTGACTTATGACCCATTTTTCACAGATACGACTGGTCACGTGATCAAAATTCAAATGCTTGGCAACTGACTCGTACTTACGACCGTTGCCGTGTCCTGGGGTGTGTGTGTGTGTCAAGTGATCTCCTTTGGGTGACCTTCCAAAGCAAAGTCAATGGGGGAAAGTCAAATTCATTTAACAACCTGGTTACTAACTTAATCCGGCTGCAGTGACTCGCTTAACAACGGTGGGCAAGGAAGTTCGTAAAGCGGGGCGAAAACTCAACTTTAACAAATGTCTCACTTAGGCATCCAAAATATTGGGCTGGATTGAGGTTGTAGGTTGAGGACGTACCTGTATATGCTGTCCATTCCCTTTATAACATACCCCGTTATAAATCCAAGTTTGTTTATTTAATTTAATTATTTAATTTAATTTATTGACTTTTTAATTTAATGGTGATATGAAGGATTCTTTTAATTATGCCAGTAAAGGGCATAATTGTTGTTGTGATTCTGGCATTTTATTTATGTCTTCTGTGGCTTTTCCAATCTTTTTTTTTTTACGTAATTTTTTTTATTTTAAACACTTAAAACAGATCAACAAAAACATACCATAACTTACAAACAACAATTGGAACTGCACTATCGGTGCATCCTTATAGTTATTGTTTCCCCTACTATGCATTCTAATTTTACATTTGTGGCCACCTTGTTTCTTACTCCTTTAGTTGTTTTATGTTTAATCATTTGTATCAGACAATCCTATTACCTTTATTACGTTGTCTATCCTTTTCTTAACATTTGTGTATCTTACTTTTCCTATCTTCTTATCGCTCTATCCTAATTCTTCTCCTATGCCTTTTACAATTCCCCGATTTCTTATTTCTACCATCTTCACCGTTTGCACCATTTCCCCCAAAACTAAAATAGTATTCTGATTCCTTCTTTCCGATCTTAAAAGAGAAAGAAATAAACCACTTGCGAGAAAAGAAATCTCTAGATTTTTTAAAAAAATGCCTTTTTTAGGGGCATGTCAGTTTCCGAGTTTCACAACACTCTTGAACCACGTTGACCTCACACTGGTCTCAACGCCGTTCCTCTTTTCACCACCGAAACCTGTACAATTAATTGTCGGCTGAATTTATTTATTTTTTTGGCTCGGGGAGAAAAGGGGCAGATGGCAACACAACTAAATCTAAATCTTTTCTGTCTTTTAACCGTTATTTTCGCTTTTTTCTTTTCCCAAACAGCCTGCTTGCGTTAGCCCGGACGACCGAATCTTATGCCGCTGAAGATCCATTGATCGGCCTCGCCAAAGAGATCTGTTTGAAAATGCTTCTTTATCCCTCCAATGGCTGGGAAAACGGGGCGCTTCGGTGGCGATTAGTGGGGGGGTTTCTCTGTCTCTACCCCCATTTCCTTCTCCCCCCGAGATTTGAGCTGGACACGGCAGATGGAAACTGGTTTTCAGAGGGTCAAGATAACAACGACGGTGCTTTCAATTCCGGACGGGACGAGACTGCTAGAATCGGGACTTAAAATAGTACCATCCCAATGGGGTTGGCCCCTCTGATGAACTTCTGGACTTCAACTCCCAGAATTCCTGAGCCAACATGGGGAAGGGTTGACCCCCTTGGATGACTTCTGAACTTCAACTCCCAGAATTGATATATGGGACAGTGCCTTTCTCTCCCCTCCCCCCCCTGCTTTCTCAAAAGCAGGGACTCAGACCTCCCGCGAATATTTCTCAGTTTTCTGAGAATGGGGCTGTATTGTATATTACAATGTTCCTATTTCTGAGAATATTTTTCTACCATAGTTATTTTGTTTTTGTTGTTGCTCTTATTATAGGGAACAAATGCATATTGCTGTGAAAAAAATGCTGTTTTTGTGACGTGTCGTTTTATTGGGGCTGGGAAGGAGGGGTTGGAGGGGTGTTGGGGAGACACACCCCCCCCCCAGGCCTCAGCTATGCTGGTTATGTGGCGGGGGCTTGGGGAAGAACCCTGGATCCAAACTACACTGGTTGGGGGGGAATAGAGCCAAGGTGGTGCAGTGGTTAAATGCAGCACTGCAGGCTACTTCAGCTGACTGCAGTTCTGCAGTTCGGCTGTTCAAATCTCACCGGCTCAAGGTTGACTCAGCCTTCCATCCTTCCGAGGTGGGTAAAATGAGGACCCGGATTGTTGGGGGCAATATGCTGACTCTGTAAACCGCTTAGAGAGGGCTGAAAGCCCTATGAAGCGGTATATAAGTCTGACTGCTATTGCTATTGCTATCTTGGGTTTGATGTCACACACCTATATGGAGGGGGGGGGAGGCATGGTGGAAGGGGCGGTCAGAGTGAAAGCCCCCACCAATCGTAGGCCGAGGAATGGGCTGTCAATTGCAACTAGAGCAGCTGATTCCGGCTGCTTTGTGGACTTCAACTCCCAGAATTCCCCTATTGTTAAAAGTCCACAGGTTTAAAGGGACAGGAAGTTGTGTTTTATGGGAATGCATGAGTGAAGAAGAAGAAGAAGGAAGGCTAAACTTTTGTCTCCCTCAGGCTGGGAACGAAAAAGCGCTGACTAGGGATGGTAGGTCTCCAGCCTGGAGCCAAGGGGGTTGGCCTAGATGACCTCCGAGGGTCCCCTCCAGCCCTAGGGTTCTACGTATTTAGGATATGCCAGTCCTGGTAAAAATACTGAGAGAGAGCAACCTTTCTTAGCGATGATTGCCCGAAGGATTAGTTGGCAGGAGAATCCGAATTCTAGGGCTGAAGGGGACCTTAGAGGTCTTCTAGTCCAACCCAGTGCAGAGATCCTCTGCTCATCACAAATGGCTACCCAATCTCCAACAGATGCAGCCCCCCCCCATCCCCCATTAACCTCAGAAGGCTGGTTTGTTCCACTGACTTCACAATTGGGGAAATTAAGTCCCATGTAGTCCTTGACTTACAGCAGTCTTGTTTAGTGACCAAAGTTAAATAACTCTGGGGAAAAAGTGATGAATGACAAGTTTTCACACTTATGACCGTTGCAGCCTCCCTGTGGTCAAAATTGAGACTGTTTTGGCAACTGACTCACATTTACGACGGTCGCAGCGTCCCGGGGTCACGTGATTTCCCCTTCTTCGACCTCCTGGCAAGCCAAGTCAATCTGGGAAGCCAGGTTCGCTCAACAACCATGTGACTAACTGCTGGGATTCACTTAACGACTGTGGCAAGAAAAAGCCATAAAACGAGGCAAAGCCCCCCTTAACAACAGAAATTTGGGGCACATTTGTGGTCCTAAGTCGAGAACCTACCTGCATTCCACTCCAAAGAGCGTCCTACTCAAACCTGTCAGCCCAGCTGCCAAATTCTTTTTATTTTACTTTTTTGATAAAAGTTTTCTATATCTTTCATTTTCATAACACATAATCATATGTATATTATTGCATAGCCAACATTATATTATTACATGTTTACATCAATTGTCTTACTTTCAACTCCCAAAAAACAATTAAACAATTATTGGCTCTTCTGCTTTCCATACACCATATTTGTACCTTATTCATCACTTTCTTCTCCCTCTCTCCTCCCCTCCTCTACCTCCTTTCTTCCCTCTGTCCTTCTCTGCTGCCCCTTCCTCTCTCCTTCTCCTCTCTCACTTTTCCACTCCTTCTTTCTCTCCTCTCCCTCTCGCCTTACCTCTCTCCTCTACTTCCCACTCCTCTCATTTAGAACCCCATGTCTACGATTACATAGCCAACATTGTGTTGTATTATTAAGTGTTTACATCAATTCATCTTACCATCAACTCCCAAAAACTATTATTGGCTCTTCTGCTCCATACACAGATTTGTACCTTATCCATCACTTTCTTCTCCCTCTCTCCTCTTCCCTACCTCCTTTCTTCCCTCTGTCATCCTTCTCTACTTCCCCTTCCTCTCTCCTTCTCTCTCCCATCACTTTCTTCTCCCTCTCTCCTCTTCCCTACCTCCTTTCTTCCCTCTGTCATCCTTCTCTACTTCCCCTTCCTCTCTCCTTTTCCTCTCTTCCCTTTCCACTCCTCCTTTCTCTCCTCCTCTTCCCTACCTACTTTCTTCCCTCCCTCCTCTACTTCCCACTCTTCATCTCATTTACTTGGTGTATTTCAGCCTCTGAGCGAGCTCCGTTTTATGTTGATGGTCTTTATAATTCCTTTTCAATATACATATTTAATTTTAACATACATATCTTCCTCCTTTTTCTTTAAACGGGAGAAAAACAAAAAGCATGCTTATATAGTAATTGTATTTTAACTCACCCCAGTCTGGCCCAGATGTAGATCTGGTTACAATTAATTCCCAGCTATTCTCATCATTATATTTATATAATTATGCCTCCTTACTCGACCCAAATGTGTGATTTTGTCTTTAAATGTCAGTAATTCCCCATTGTAAGCATATTTCATGTCCCCCTCTCCATTTTTCCATATCTTGGCTTGGGTTATCCTTAATTGTCTCTAAATAACAATCCTTACTGTTCGATGTTCATCACAATTCCTTTAATCTACTATATAGAATCAGCGGCCCAATTCTTCGGAGGCTTCTGGCTCATTTCACAATTGGGGAAATTAAGTCCCATGTAGTCTTTGACATACAACAGTCCCATTTTAATGTCCTATATTCTTTGTCCTTGCCACCTTCCCCTCTTCTTCCCATTGCAACTCTGGGAAACGGAGCCTGAAAACCTGGAGGCCTTATGGTGCCTTTTTTTTTGGGGGGGGGGGGAGTTCCTGGGTGTAGCACCCTTTGCTAGGCGACTTTCTGCAGAAACTGGGTGCGTTAAGAGTTGTGCTCAAGGGTTGTGAGTAATGCTGCCGCTTGAGTGGGAAGGAACCAGTCGTTGCCAGTCGCAAGAGGTGGTGAAGTCAACTCAGTAAACGGGTGGTGCAGCTGCTAGGCTGGGGTGGGGGGAAATTTTGCTACGTGGAGCACAGCTGGATTGGGGAACTGGAGAAGAACAAGACGATTTAGGACTTTTGCAGAGAAGAGCAACTCAGATGATTAAAGGCCTGGGGATTAAAACATGGATCGGGTGGCCGGATTAACAGTGTGGGAAGGGATCTTGGAGGTCATCTAGCCCAACCCCCCTCCCCAGCAGGAGACCCTACACCGTTTCTGACAGATGGCAGTCCAGTCTCTTCTTGAAAGCCTCCAGGGATGAAGATCCCACAACTTCCGAAGGCAACTTCTGTTCCATGGGTTGATGGTTCTCACAGTCAGGAAATTCCTCCTAATTTCCAGGTTGAATCTCTCCTTGATCAGTTGCCATCCATTGTTCCTTGTCTGGCCTTTGGGGGCTTTGGAGAATAGCTTGACCCCTTCCTCTCTGTGGCAACCCCTCAAATATTGGAAGACTGCTATCATGTTTCCCCTGGTCCTTCTCTTCCCTAGCCAAA